TCTCTGTGAACGCCTACACTGGCTGCGGCAAAAAAGAACTGAGCCCTAGATCATTTGGAAGAAGCTGGTATGTAAGATACCACCCCTCAAGCCACAACAGTGTCTCCAATCACCTTCTAAGACGGTACCACTGAATCCCCTATAGGGCATACGTCATGGCTTTCCAGGGAGTCCCAGGACTCCGTAGCTCAGGTGCGAGCCCCACTTGCTTGGGACCTTCCAGGCCAACAGAGGAACCCTTCGAGGTGGTGTTCTGCCCAACGCCCGCAGAAGAAAGACGCAACCCTGTGGGCGAACACTTCCCCCCCCCAACAGTTCCGGGTTTAGATGGAGAGAGTGGTTGAACTAAGTAATGCAAGTGCCACCGGCAGGAACGCTTGGACACCCCTTGACTCAAAAGCCAGCCTGATTCTATGATCAAATTGATCCCCAACAGTTCGAGGATGACAACAGTCTTCAGTTTTGGCCATGCAAGAATTGCACCTCCTCGAAGGGGCTCAGACCCAAGTCACCAGCACGCACGAGAAAACACGCTGTGCGTGTGGGAACTCTCTTCACGTCTCTCAGCACCGCCCCAGGGCCCCAGGGCACTTCTGCCGGAATTTTCGACCAAGTTGGGTTTCCTTTTACCTATAATAGGACCCGTAGACACTCCATGTACACAGTAATATATGCCAACATGGACCCCCCCAAAGCACACCAGATCGGCCAATATCTGGCAGTCCGAGGTGGTGATTGGGGTAGAACACCCCAACTGCCCCCCCCCCCCCGTTCGACGGCGCGGTTCTGAGGTGAAGCGCTTCTCAGAGTACTTCAAGGGCGACGGGTCGCACACGCAGATCCTGGCGCCTGGGAGGCAAAGGGGATGCGACCTGCGGATCCGCCCACGACGCACGAAAGACCAGTGCCACGTGCCGTAGCGAATGAATGCGAATGACCGACACCAGGTTAAGCGGTCGGTCTCCGGCGGTTTGAGTGCACAGGCACACATGGTCGATCCGTCAATCGGGTGGGCTGCCTTTGAGCCTGAAGGACTTTAAAAACTGGGCCTTGGGCCTTGGGCCTTTTGGAGCCATGGGTCAAAACCTGGAGCTCCAAATCAAGGCAACCACCGGTATGATCTGGTATATATATATATATGCATGTATATATGATGCGTTTTTGTACAAGGCCTTTGACTTTCAGGGATGGTCATCCGTTTTTCTCTCTAGGTAGGAGCAGTGAACGGAGCAGAATTCTTGACCAACCAACGTGTAGAGCAATGTATTTTCCTTGTCTCGCGCCATGTTTTTGGTCCCCCAGCCCAGGAATCCCAACCAGTCGGGGCCCAGTGGAGGGGAACTCCACCGCCCCACCTGCCCGCTCCACCGCCTCTTGCGGCTGAGGACGCCAGCGGCTACCGCGAGAACTTCCTCTTTCGCTGCTGCACGCAACAGAGCTCCAAACTTCCAGCGGCTGGGAACTGCACCCGAGATGGGGTGAAAGCCCGATTCGGGAACCTGATCGAGTTGATCTAAGGGAACATGTCTTCTGGGACATCCAGAAACACACAAAGAAGATTAAGAGTGGATCTAAAATCTCGATTGAAAGTCCTGATTTGGGGAGGAAAGATGGCCTCTAAGCTGCCTTCCTCCCCCTCACCTCACCCCTCTACTTCGCACCCGGATCGGAGGTGAAGCACCCCCTAATGCCGTGGCGCCCAACCCGCGGAACCACCGGGGCTGAGGTGAAATCAGCCCGGGATGCCCTCACGGTCTACTTCACGGCCGCTTGGCGCGGATGGACTGGAATCAGTCTGGCCGGTCGGTCTGGCCGCGGCATGGGTGGAGCACTCACCGGTCAAGGAACCCTAGCTCCCAGCTCGTTGACAGACCAGCTGTAAACGACCACACCTCCCAGCTTCGCCCAGCATAACCATCCAGCCACCCATCAGGTGGCCTTCGTCGCGTTGCCGCCCGAGCCCATGCAACCCAGACTCTCCGATGCCAGGAGCGGACCTGAAAGGAACGAGGTTTGGTCCGGCACTGTGGTGCCACCGTGATGGTGCCAGATGAAAATGGTGATTTTGTTGTTGTTAAGGCTTCATTTGGTTGAAGAGGATGGGCAACCAGACACCTTTTTTCAACCACCCCAATTCAATATCACTGGAAGTCCAAGACTATATCTTCAAAATGTGTCTATCTCCCGGTAGCAACGAACAACTGTCTGGACTTTCCTTCTCTACCCTATCAGATCGTATACGTAGATTTGTCTGAACCCTGAAGCTGCCCTGAGATCGTGCATTGTAGCTGCTGATCAAGCTTGTTGACGGCAATACCCTTTACTTCCGTTGGCTTCCGCAAAATCTGTTGAGATGCTACTGAACTCTGCAGCACGTGACTACTGCGCTGGTCCCTCATTGCCGTCGCCTGGGTTCGTCAGCCATGTCTCAGATTTTTATTGTACCACTTTTCACTTCCCAACTAGCAAAGGGCATCGCTACGAACGGAGCGATCGGACGCTACGAACGTAGCTTCTGGCACTACTACTCGGAACAAGAAGCGACTTAGGACATTCTGAGGTCGTGCAACGTCCCGCAGGGCTGGGTGAAGGGTTGCGTGTTGCGCGGGTCCCGCGCGGCCTGAGACACGAGATCGCCAGGGTGGGTTTCTTCACCACACCGGTCCTGGTGGGAGGGCCCACACGGGCCACGACGGCGACTCGATGCAGCGCTCGGAGCGAGCGATTCAGCGGTCGGTGCGTGGGGTCCTCAAATAGAGAGGATTGCACGGTGTGGTAACCAGGACCTTCAGTACGTGACCCTTTGATATCCCACTTACGATGAGGTCACTTAGGTCTGTACAAGGTCACAAACAGAGACTCCAAAGAGGTCACTTTGAAGGTCCTGGAATATGGATTTTGAAAGGGATTATCCTTTATATGTAATTCTATCTATTTGGCGTTGGGGTGAAGTCGTTTGGTCAGTCGTAGACACGAGTTGACGCGTGGTGTCATGATGGTGGGTGACTAAACCCCGCCACTTCTATAGTGGGTAGGGTGTGTCCTATGACCTGATGGTCCTTACATGTCTTTACTAATCCACTCACTGTTACTGGGGGTGGGGTTTACCTCATCAGTGGCTTTGGAGATTGGAAGGCGGGTTACCATGGGTCACAAAGAAGGTCTGAGAGGTGAAGACACATGCCGCCGGAACAGTACAGCATGAATTAGTTGCCCTTATAACTTATACCTATACCTGCGATAACGTTCTGATTCCCTTCGAAAAAATGCTGACTGTGAAGCCCCTCAAGTTGGAGTCCTAAGTTGAGAATGGGCACCTGCCCTCTCCACCTGACCTGGTCAGGCTGGCTGGGGTTATATCTTCTGAGAAGGTAGTTGCATCCTCTAAACCCAACGCATCCACCACGGTCCAGGGTTCGGTCGATTCCAAGGCGTCCGGGCCGAGCAAGGCAATTAGACCTATAAGTAGGGTAGGTTAGTCTAGCCAGGACACCCAGGATGATCCTGGTACCTTTTGTGAATGATGTTTAGTTGGCCCATCAGCTTCCACGCCTCTCTGAAATCGCAAGGTGCAATATGTCATCTCCAAGTGGGACTTGGCCCGACGGAAGCAGCTGCTTTACGTGCCTTTCCTCAGAAAGAGGGCCCCGGAGAGGCCCTTAATCAGGATTTGGTGGGAAGCAGCTGTGCTACGTAGCATGGGGGTTTTGTGAGGTTCAGCTCATGCATTGGCACTCGATCATGGGCCCCCCCAAATGCAGGTTGCCATTGGGGCATGCCAAGATGCCGCCAGACAGGGGGGGTGGAACCGAGAACCTGCACATGTTCCAAGTGAAGAACCTGCACTCCAGGGTCTCCAGATGTCTCCAGGGTCTCCAGATGCCTCGAGGGTCTCCAGATGTCTCCAGGGTCTCCAGATGTCTCCAGCTCAGCTTAAAATTATAGCGCCGGGGGGCTGGCCAGAGCTGGATTTCAGGGCGTTTCAGGGGGCGGTGTCCAACCACCCTAAGGCGGCCGAAGGCGGATGCAAGCGCACTTCGAAGTGTCACCCTTGCCAAGTGCACAGAGCTAGCTATCCTGAAGGCAACAAGTCTGACTGAAGAGCTGACCAACAGCTGACCCAGAGCATCACAGTAGAATTGAACAACCTCTTCATCTCTCTTCATAATATGGGGGGTGAAATGTCATCAACATTCCGCATGACTGTGCCCCAAATAATTGGCTGTATTGTACCACTATGTCCGGAACCTTCCCATCCAGTGACCGATTCAGGCATTGTTCAAGGCGACACGTGTCCCATTCGTTGACCAGCCGCATCAAGGGGCCGATCGGAAGATCCAGGGAGATAAACCTAGGGATCCAAGTGCCAGGACCCACTGTCGGGGTGGCTAATGGACACCCCGCCTATCACATCTTGTTCGGGGCTATCGAAGCCCCTGGTCCGGGTGTCCTGGTAGATACTTCTCGTGATTGGAGACACTGTGATAGCAGAACTGTATATACCTGAAGGTACTTGGATCCCATCATATTATATACGTTTTGGTTGATCATTGCAAGGAGTTCAGGTTGAGTTTTGAGCCTGTGGCATCCTTTGGTTGGCTTTCGAGCTGATGCAAAATTATGGTGTCCACAAAAGAAGCCGACCGAGGGCAACTCCGTTAGCACCTGAAGAATTCGGTTTCGACCTCGACATCGAGGTCATCGACAAGTCTGTACCCGAGATGTTCCACGAGACCATCAAGAAGGGGGTCTTGGTGTGGAATGAGCCTTGGCTTTTTTCGTGCACCGAGACTCAGAGAGACGGAGAGCTCCGACCAGACACGGACCCCGACCAGAAGGAACACCCGGTGGGAGAAGACCATTCCACCAACAACGTGGTGAGTCCTCTCGATAGCTGACGTGATCCAATCATGAGCACCCTCGCAGTCCCAAGTGTTCGATGCACTTCTTTCGCAAGCCGCTGCCTGATGTACACCTGGTGTATAGAAAGAAAGTGACAAAGCCTCAAAGTTATCCGAGCTCATCGATCATCACCCGATGTGAATGGTCCAAAAAAACGAATCAAGAACCACCGACCCCACCATGTTCTCCAAAATTGAACGGGAATTGACGCACCGAAGATCAAGTAAGAACCAGCCAGAAGTTCTCAGCCCTTCTACCAGCGCTTGCGGCCTCCATCGCAGTGCTGCAGTCAGGAGACCTTCCCAGACTGCAATGGGGACGCCCCGTTACACTGTGTAGCTCCCGCGGACGAAGACTATCCAGACACCTGGGTGCAAGATGGTGCAAAGGAGGTCGCTGGAGCTGGGTACAGGTCGCTGGAAGGGGTTGGGTTTCTTCAGTTGTGCTAGGTGTGGTTTTTCTTTGCAGATGTGTACGTGCACATTTGTGAACCAGGGTGCTGGCACCAAGGTCTGTGCACCTGCACCGGTCACATGGTCCCAAGGGCTGTGGTTCTTTGGTGTCTTTTGTTCCTTGTGCATCTAGGGCCAGTAGGGAATACCAGGGACGTTTTCTGGCGGATATGGTTAGAGTCCCATCTCAAATCCCCGTCCCTCGTTTTCCAACTGCTCGAGGATTGACTCAGTTGACTCTTAGCTTTTTTTCAGGCTCCCATCTCAAAAATTCCGCGACTCATTACACTGCTTTGGAGCTTTTTGGCAGGGATGGGGGTGCCAGACATAAGATGACACAAGCATACAAGCACGCTTTCAGCAGTTTGTCCCTTGAGCCCTTCGGTGAGCGAAGGATGAGTACGAAGCGGGCGATGGGCGGCATATCGCCATTTTCATGACCAACCCTTCGACGAAGGGACTTCTGGGCTATGGCCCGAGCAACCTTGGCAAAGTGGAAGGGGGAGTTTACAAGGAGGGATTGCCGAGGGCAGACAAGCCTAAGACAGTACCACCGGAGTGTTTGAGAACGGAGAAGTGATGATATGGTCTATAATAAGAAGATTGGATTTTACCTCTCTTTACCCTTGCAAGCCGGACTCAGCATGAACAATGTGTGTAATGCCGGAGAGTCCACACATCTTCGTAGTTGGTGACGCATCACTTGGCACCCGGACGTCGCGGGCGCGGCTCCCGCGGTCCGGTGCGGTCCGGTGCGCGGTGACCGGTGAGGCGCCGTGGACTATCGCAGTGGAGAGATCCTCTTCGCCAGCGTGGTCTTGGGACTGAAGCTCACCAGGAGGTCAGAGAGGTGAGGGGAGTAATGAGCCCAAGTAGAGAAGAAAAAGACAACACATCTTCCAAGCTGGGCTTGGGAAAGTGGTCCCATCCATCCAAACAATACAAAGAACATCAAAGAACATCTTCCGGAACCTTCATGAACCTTCTATATCCTGGTTTGGTCACCAGCCTCCCTCGTGGTCAGCAAGTGATGTGGCTTTCAGTGATGAATGCACAGTGTGGCAGCTGAGCTTGGCCAATTCGGTCCCAAAACCATCCGGAGGAAAACTCATCGCACTTTCTGAAGAGCTCTCCTTTGGAGAACATCCCCCCCGACACAGAAAAAGAAACCGTCCACACATATGCTTCACTCTCCCCATATCTCCTCATCAGTCTTATTTTCGCTCTGGAGAGAGAAACCAGAGATCCAGCATGGTCAAGCTCTGATGCTTGCGGGATGTTGGGGGGGTTTAGTGCGTCTCATGCACGCGCCTTCGCCACTTAGGAAGAGCCACGTGAAGATTTGCTCCGACTACTCGGAGCGATGCGTCGTGGTTCGTCGTTCTTCGCGCGCACAGCGCGGGACGAAAGGACGAGGCGATGGACGACCAGTCACAAAAGGGGTGCCGAACTTGGAGGATAGGGGTCCCCACATGTCCCCACTCACTGGATGGTACTAAAATGCACCCCCGACATGTGACTCCTGGTTCCTATACCTTGATCGCAACTAATCACAGCTGAGAGGTCCTGATATCCTGGCCGAGACATTCGTGTCCTCAGCAGGTTTTCAAGTGTGTGTGGGTCGGTGATGTGGGTGAGATTGGAGGTCATACGGTGGGTTGACGAGGTCAAAGTGTACTTGCTACGCGACAGGTATTGGACCATTGATGCATGATATGATATGCCGTGCAACTTGTTTGGATTCACCCTGGTCAATGAAGTTAGTTGCTCTACTAGCCGAGCAATTCGGAGGTCAGAGAAGGGTTTGGGAGTCCTTCGCTTGGTGAGGAGTCCCTGCTGCAGAAGAAGGACTCTTAGCTGCAGGACTTCATAAGAACCGGTCCCAGGCCCCAGGACTTCACCATCCACGTATGGAATACACCCTGGAAGACGATCCTGACCCTGAAAACCACTGGTTGGTAGAGGATTTCACACTCTTCCAGGGGGGGCCAGGACGTCGGGGTCTATGTTCGTTTTCAGGAGTGTATTTACCCACATTGACCCCTCACGGCCCTGACACATCTCACACACATCACCCCCCACGTGTAGGCCGGGAGTGGGGCAAAATGGATCAGAAAATGGATTTGCCGGCTGCTATTGGATCCGACGCGGCTGAAGCCGAAGGTTTCAGTGAGGAACTTCCCAACTTCCCAGGACACGACACCCCGAATCACTTCCAGGGTATAATTGTTTTGAGTTGTGGGCAATGGCACCTCCCAACATGCTCCCCGTCTGCTTGTGGGAAGCTTGGATGAGAAACGGTCCTATTAGGTGAGAGTGATCAGCCTAAGGAGTCGGGATGCGGCTCCACGTGTCAGCGCCTATTGGATGCGGATGATCCTGATGTGCTGAAATGCCTCCTTGAGACCACCGTCCACGAGGTGCAGATCCGCAGGGTCCGCTTATGCCGGGTGCAGATGTGCAGGTGCAGGTGATGTGCTGGGTGACTCCAAGTTGAGATTTTCAGCTCCCCACCCAAAAAGATCCCAAAAGCCCTTTCTGCAGTTGGCACCCTAAACCACCCACCCGGGTTTTCGGGGTCGGTTTTTCCATGCCTCTCTCCCCACCCCCACCGCAAACCCAACGGAAGGGCACCGCTTCGTTTGGACTTCGCCAGGTGGGCCACACCTTGGGTCTTCGCCACAACTTCATTGCCGCAGAAGATGGCCGTTCCTCCGTCCCCTGGGTGGTTCGGGGTGGAGCAGGGCGTGAGGTGGAGGGACGGAACTCTTGGGATCGACGTGAGTTCGATGATTGAAGGCATTTGAAGGCATTAAGAGATCCAGGAGTGACGTAGTACATAGACCTGGAACTCACATGGAACTGGACACGCCGCCCCGAAGCAGCTGAGTTCGGCGAGTGCGGGGAGACCAAAAAAAGGTCTTCTGTTTTGGGGGGGGGTGAGGTGTCCGGTCGGGGGCGTGAGATGCGTTGCACCGGCGGGGTGTGGGGGATGGATGTGGATGGTGGTGGTGGGCTCGGGAGGGCGGATATTGACCCGCCTGAAATCAGATGTGTTCGGGGTAGTGTTGAAAGAAAGGCAAAAAGGAAAGGTGCTGCAACAGGAGTCACATGATTTTTTAGTCCCATCCAATGAGTGGATGATGAGCACCCCTATCCTCCAATAGGTGTGACTCCTGGTTTATACCTTTTGACGCCCCTTTCTCCGAAGACATGAGAAGACATGAGAAGACTATATCTTAAGTGGTGTACAGATCATGAGTCGAAGGCCTTGTGGGTGAAAGCATTCTGGAGATCAACAGGTCACCTGGTGTCGCAGGTCCACATAGAAAACATGCACAGGGATGGAAGTGCCGGACGTTCCACATAGATTGATTTCTTATTGTTTCATGCAGTCCACTATCCAAACAATTCCAAACATATCCAAACTATCCTTCGGGAAGGTGATTTTGAATGTATTTACCACAGGTCATGGATTACCCGGACGATTTGGACACTACGAAGCTTGGCCGCAAGAGATTCATAGAGATTATCTTTCCGACTTGGAAAGGGAGATTGCGAGTGCACATGATAGAAGAATGACTAGGGTCGACTATATAGACAATAAGAGTGAACGGAATATGCACTATAGTTAAAGAATGACCCAGGAGTCACAAAGGGGTGGTTTTTAGTCCCTAAGTGAGTGGATAATGGGCACCCCTATCCTCCAATAGGCACCCCTTTGTGACTGCTGGACTATAATAAAAACTATAAAATAATAGAAGAATGACTCCCCCCAAGACTTCTGGAACATCAACATGACCAGTCCTTGCATGAGTCCTGGACAGTCCCAACTTGATGGTCCTGTTTTCCCCGGTGTGTGGTTATTCTCTCTAGAAGAGCCAGTATACAATATGGAACTGACTTCTTGGTGGTATCCATCATGAATCCCTCACCTCACACACCTCGATTGTCCATGTTTCAGACTCCCTTCCCCGTTCCACTTCCAATCCGGTGCGCCAAGGAATCCCGAGCAGCCGGTCTTCGGCGGGCATTTCTTAGGAAGCCCTGGGCGCTACGACCACTACGCTGCTCGCAGTTCTGTCCGTGGAATCATGCAGCGGGGTGGTGTCCGAGCTGGTGTCCGACCTGGGTCGTGCCGATACGTGGGGTAGAATCTAGGGTTTGTGGAGCGCAACACGTACCAGGCAGATTGGCAGATTTGTTGAGCAAATTTGAAGACGCTGGTCTACAGGTCTCCTGTAGACTGCAGGGGCTGTTTGAATTGGTGACCTGCGCTTGGATCTTTAGTGGCAACACTTGTCAAACTTCCTTTCACATCGGAAAAGACGTTTGAGCATCTTTGCACAAATTCATGAGACATGCATGTTTTCCCTCATCAATCCTCCTCATGATTTTCCAACCACTAGGGCCCTTTGGGCCCACATGGGCCCACCTTTTTTTGGCTGAGTGCTCCCTCTTGTTAGGCCTTCCTCCCCGCGGGGCCTCAGGCCATTCGCTACGGATACATTTCACTGGAGGGAGAGACGCGAGGCTTTGGATGTTGCGCGCGCGCGGCGCGGAGGGTGGCGGAAGGTCCGGTCGTTGGATGTTACGACTCCTGGGGGCAAGGGGGAAGGACGGCTGAAAGAAGGCGAGTCATTCGATGTTCAAGAAAGCAAGGGGACGTATCCACTCCTCCAATGGGATGGTGTTCAAGTTACGAAGTAGGCGAAGCCTGTGGTGAGATAAGGCATGATACAGCTATAGCTTATAAAAATGCAGCTCAGTTTTGGGGCAGGCTGTTTGCGGGCTTCAGTAGGTTGATTGGCTGGTCGCAGTGCATCAAGCCACATCGAAATCAATCCCACCCACTTGGAGTTCCCACAAAGAATACCTCTCAAGCTGAAGCGAAGCCACGAAGCGGAACCCCGCTGGGGTCCGACTCGCTCCTGCGAGTCCTGCAGGCGTACGCCATCCGAAACTGGAGCTCTTAGCGAACGGTCAGCAGCTGGATGAGGAACTGTCCTCCGAAGCGAGCGCCTTGGGCGAAGTGACATGACCGGAAAAAGCTTGAAGCATTGATGGCCGATGAACAGATTACGTAGAACTGTTTATGAAGCATGCCTTTGTGTTAAAATCAGTTCATATAGTGAACATGCTCTCAAGATCTCAAGAGAGCTTCAGGCCTGTTTAACGGGTGTGATCTGGAGACCTGCCCCAGGAGGTGGAGGATGGTCCGAAGAATTCCAGCTTCCAGAGGAATGGTACCATGTTTTACCAGGCCCATGTCCAGTTCAACACAATGGGAATTAAGCTGAAACGAATGAAGGAGCCCTAGCTGCTGGGTGGTTTTTGCATCCTGAAACTTGTTCATGTTTTTGCCGCCAACGAAACAATGTGACTCCAGGCATTCCAAGGCGATGAGAGTTTCAGGCCCGCGGTGATGTGTGGAACATCCACTCACAGGTCGCCACCGAAGAACTGGTCAAATGGATCAAAACCTCACCTGGCTCAACCTCAACCTGGGCATCTAAGATAGGCACCCTCCCGCGAAACGCTCCCCAAACACAGAAACGCCATCCAAAATCGCCGAAGAACTCGCTCTGCTCGCCTCTTTCAACGTGACCGAGGAAATCCCCTCTTCGCCTCCGACGATGACCTGGGTGGCTTCGACCCTCGCGTGCAGTGCCTCGGCCCGGGCCATCGCGGTTGGCACCAGAGGCAGTGGTGCAAAATAGCGAAAATAGGAGCCTGAAATAAATGTGTGGCGCCCACCCAAAACAAGCCCAAATGCTCCAGAAGTCTGCGGGCATCTACGGACCCCCCCCAAAATCCGAGATCGTTGGGGAGCGGCGCACCCGGCACGGCATCCTGCCCCGGCATCCTGCCCCGGCATCCTGCCTGTTCCTGCGAACGGGTCAGGCAGAGAGCTGCCGACATCCAGCGAATGGGCGTGGACAAAATCCTTTGGGGTCGAACCCGCCGAGCCACACTGCTGGACGGCCGTCGTCCGCGGCGTCGGACGCGGAGCAGCGTGGGGTGGCACGTGGCGTGTGGAACATGGGAGGTTCTTTGCGCGGTCGACCGGGGATAGGCCTGATAGGCCTGAGGGATGAAGCAAATGGTTCTTGCAGACATGAAGCAGTTGAGCCAGCTACAGTACGTCTATAACGTATACATCCAGACATCCGAAGGTCAACCACTGAGAGGACATGTGATCTTTTGAAGTCGCTTGGATGGCAAAAGGTAAACAAACATGCTCTAGTGACACGATCCGTTGGAGCCAACTGCACCCCTACTGGTTTAATAGCAGGAGCACGTGCAAGCTGGCAGCATCGATTGCACCTTGGTAGCGTATGTTGGGGGGGAGAAGAGTTTGAGTGGCATGAAGGGTCTGAGTGGCATACACTCCCTGAAATAATCACTGAATCTGAAGTGGAAAATGGAGCCTTGGATGACCATCAGGTGGTTGCCCACTTCCATGATGATTTCAGGGAGTGTACATTTCCCTAGCTAGCTGGTGGGCGCACGAAGCGGACACTACCCAAGCTTGCATTTCTTTTCGTGAAAGCACCTGTGCAGACCTGGAGAGGCAAAAGGATTTTGTGTGTGTTGAACCCTAGAAGTTGAATGGATTTCACTAGACCGGAATGGACATGCATGGACACAGCTACCGCGACACCATGAATGGCAAGTCCGCCAACCTCAGCCAGACCAGGCAGCTTGTACAGCCAACGAGTTCTGGCGACCTTGGAGACGCTCGACCTTGGAGACGACCGACGGATCGACGGGGTGAGGAAGGGACCCCCCCACACCGGATCGACAGGATGGTCCAGACAGAGAGGGTCCAGGTAGAGAGGCTCCAGACAGGTTCCGAAGTGTCCTGAAAAGCTCGCCACTCCACAGGTCGAACGTTGGAATCCTCAGTCTTCCTCGCGGAGGTTGTCACTTGGGTCACGTTCTCCTACCCTCGTTGGAGGGTAGGATTCCTACAACCTTCCAACCATGTGACGAATGAATTCCGCACCTCCGCCGTCCTCAGGATCACCAGCCGAAGCGTCCTCAACTCCGTGGGCCTCCTGGGCGGCCGCCAGGTCGACGCCGCGCGCCGCAAGGCACCGGCCATCCGCTTCGAGCAAGCGCTGGAGTACGTGGCGTCTCGACATGTCTCGACGTGTGGAGGGGGGCTTGGGGTGATGGACCTTGGATGTGGGGACCTTGAAGGAACAGGCTGGCTGGTACTTGTAGTGCTAGATGTTGCTTACGATTGTATACATATACGGCGATGGTATTTTCGTAGAGTTCAGAGGTCATATTGTAGAGTTTTAAGTTTTATGATAGATTGCTTGCACCCACCATCGTCAGACTTTCTTTGTGGCCGCCCAATGTGAACACCTCAGATGTTTGCCAGGATGGAGAGACACAGTCGTCGTTCGACAGAATGTCTTTGATGTTGGACCGACTGGTGTTCCAGCCATGACAGATCCAGGTGACAATGGTCCAAAAATGTGGAAGACCCTAGTGATCCAACACATTGTTATAGGTTTGGAGGGTCCAAGTACCTTCTGAGAAGGTACGACTGGATCCCTAGGGATATATATCTCTATATATATATATATAAGCATAATTCACACACACACATACCTAGCGCTTCCAATGGGTGTCCAATGGAGACCTATATGTCCCTTCACTATCAAAACAGAGGGGTCATGTGTGGGGGTCGATTGTGGTGTTCCGACCGTGCTAGGGGACATGCCAACCGGACGCGACCGAGGCAGTGGTGCTTCACCTCCTGGTGGGGCCGGTCTTCCGGTTGTCCAGCACAGAGCGGGAGCATTTGCTGAGCAGGCGGCTCCCGCACGAGCGAGACACCGGGCCGTTGTAGTCTAAAGCCCTCAGCATACCTGGTGGAGTGGAGAACTGTTTGGTGGAGTGGGGGAAACCCACTAGAGAGATGAACAGGTAGAAAAAAGCTTCACCTTCTTTTTCCAGGGAAACTGAAGGAGTCAGTAAGTAAGCAGATAGTAATTGGGCGAGGAATCACATCAGCAAGAGAAGAATATAGAAGAAGAATGTAAACCAACGGCATGAAAACTACCATAGTTGTGAAAGGGACAGGGGCCAATTTATATATGTGATTCAAACCACCTCGGCTTGCGGAGCCATACTTAAACCGGTGAACAAGTGTCCAAGGCGGCGTAGTGGCTGTGAGGAAGAACTACACCCTGAGTCACGGAACGAACCAGGCCAACCGGGCTCCAAAGCACAGGGCCAAGTTCGGTCATTGACTGAAGAACCCGGCTCCAACAAATTCCATGGAGTTTGGGCATTGGGTGGTCTAAAAAGACCCATCCAGTGAGTGGATGTGGTTTTTTGCACCCCTATCCTCCAAGCTCGGCACCCCGGAACAGCTGGTGAAAATGATGTGTTCAAAAGCACCTTGTGATGACAAAATATGCCAGGCAGCTTCTTCCAAGTGAAGTAGAATGCACACAGCACAAGACATGTGAGGAAGGCCTTTTCCCGCCCGTCCTTCAACGAAGCTCCAAGAGCCCACTTGAAAGTACGAAGCCTCGGCTTTGGACCATACTCGGGGGATCAATGTGGATGTGTAGATACATTGTCCATTGTCCATATAGTATATATCGTCCATGTATCAGTTGAAGTTGTTGTTTCCATACACCCTTTTGTTGTGATACTGAAAGAGGATGCGTTAAGGCAAGTCAAGCCAGGTGAGTTTGTCTAGGGTGCATGATAGTAAATAATGTTATTTTGCATGTCGGTGACATCTCGTGACTGTTCCATACAAGTCGGTGTCGGTTTGAAGTATTTTATGGGTGTTTGTGCGCCGCAGTCAACCAGATCACAGCAAGTGGTAGTCAGGGGTGCACCTCGGGCATGACAATCATGGATGGACCCCTTCGTGATCTGGGGTTGTGTAGGGTCACTCACACATACTGAGTACACATCTACTTCCAAAAGCTGACTCAACAGTGGAAGCTTCCGTTTCGGCCTACTACTCCCTCGCTTTCTCCACATACCTGGCCCACCAACGATTTGCGTTTGGCGTTTGTCATGGCCATGTTTGATTCGTCACGGCCTGCCGCGCTCTCCGCCCCGACCAGGAGGGAGGGCGAATATGGCCTCTCCGCCCCGAGCAGCGTTTCTTTGCACGGGGCCGCCTGCGACCAGCTCCTCGGCTCCCTCGGTTTCCGCCCGACCGGTGAAACACGTCTCAGGATCGGTGGTGGGTGAGGACGGACCAACGGTCCCAACGGTCCAACGGTGTTTGGTACAAAGGTGAGTCCCCCGCAGACCCACTGGAATTCGTATTTTGGGGAATTGTTGGGAGGTGCTCTCCAAGATGTTAAAGCGTGGGGAGTAGAGAGTATAGGGTTGGACAGAGGAGAAGACATAGTAGAGTTTCCAAGGTTGCGCTGCCCCTACACTGTTCGGGCGTTTTCATGTTTTTGCGTATCGAAACCCAACGAAGCCTCGTCCTCCTTTTCGATTGTTTCCTGCTCAGGGTTTTGAGTCAGAGAGGGTTGAAAATGGAGTGACTTGTAACCAAGTACCAAGCCTATACCAAGCTCCAAATGCAGCCAAAACATGCCCTGGACAAGAGAATAGAATCAATTGTCCCGGGCACTCTTGAATGATGATGTGGTGCTGTGCTTCACAATGCAAAGTAATCCAGTCCCCCTAATAAAAAACGCCCCCCCCCCCTAATAAGGAAACCTCGGTCGCATTTTTTCTAATAGGGGGTCCCTGAAATCGGGGGGGCCCAAAATAGGGTCACCTGGGAAGAGCTTCAAAACCAAAAAGTAAATCAGTAAAAATTTATATATAAACTCCTTTATTAAACTCGTATCAAAAATGCAAAAAAGCTCCAGATCGAAGGGCCTTCCTTTTCCCCTACAAAAACCTTCATTAGAATAGTGATTCTTCAGTAGACTAACAGCTAAAGCTTTCGAAGGGTGATGTCGCTGTGCCATGCGGTGTTGCATGACCTCGGTGGCAAGCGCGTTTGCGTGAGTCCGTGCCATTGGGGGAAGGAAAGCCTGCTGGTGTAAGCGCGGCGTGTCATGGTGGATAGACAGGGCAGACAGAGGTGGGCAGTTACGGTTGGTTTTGGAACCTAACAAAAAAACTCCTCCAAAGTCGGCAATGTTGGTAGTTTAGTAGCGGCTTGAAAGGGCGGCGATTTAAAGCCAAATATAAACCGAATTTAGGGGGATCCGGCGTGACTTTTTTTAATAGGGGTCCGTTTTTTAATAGGTACTCGGGATTACTGTACATGGTACTGGTGGTGTTCTAGCCCACCTTGTGAACAAGCCGGGCATAGTAACCTGACTGGTGCAAATCCTTGGAAAACGAAGTCGGAAACCAAAAGCACAGCCCCAGTAGATTTGGAATGTTCATTGGAAGATGTTTGAAGGTTCAATTCGGTAGGTCACCAGGGCTGGTCCAATATGCACCAAAAAGTCCAGGAGCCGGTGCTTGTGCCTTTCATGGGGCACCCCGGGTAACAGTTCAGATCTTTATCTCACTGCTGATCATTTCCTTCCACAGATAGGGCCTTGGCTTGACCTTAAAGTGTCAAAGGTGACCAAACGTTCAGAAGACCTGAATGGAGAGCTTTCCTGTCATATCACCAGGCAGCTAGCCTAAAGGGTCCTCTCAGTGTTTGAGTCATGTAGAACATCCATTCCACCCCGTTCCACGCCCGGCCCTTTCGTCACCATCGGTCAAATGCTTTGGAATTTGAAGCCATTCTGGGAAAAGTCCGGAAAGACACCAACACATAGGATGTTGGACCACCTGCCCTCCACCAGGTACGTCATTATACCTGGTCTTTTACTCGAGAGTCTTACATTCGCTTCCGCTGCTTACTAAGGTGCACGAACCCTTTCAAAAATTCACAGCTCGATTTACAAAAGAACAAGGGCGGTGCCCCAATATAAAGTCCGATCTGAGCAAATCGGGGGTCTGGGAGAGTGAGCGCCGAAGGCTCAGGTGATGGCTCCCCGCACTCCGCACGTGCGACCGCACTGAGGATCCTGAGCCGGTTGCTGGATCCGACCACCTTGGAGGAGCTGGAGCCTGAAGAGAGGCCACGAAGCTGGCGATACCTAGCGCCTCCAATGGGTGACCTTAGTTGGTGACCTACTTAAGTAGTGTAGGGCTGTCCATTTTTTAAGCCCTTGGAAGCAGCTGGTATGCATCTAGTAGCTAATATAGACACCTTGACCTCAGATACACCATGATAAACCCATGATTAGACCGAGGGGCCCCACCCCTTGGGCGTCCCGGTGCCCGTCAACCTGTCCGACGTCAGATTGATGTTCGACCTCAATGCACCTTCCGGCGCTCTGCGTGGACGGATGTTCTCCATGATCGGGCGTGAGTGTAGATCGAAGAAATTTCGGAGACGTGCCAAAGCTCCCAAGTAAGGCAGACAGACACCAGACCAGACCAGACAGAGACAGAGACAGAGAGGGAGGGAGAGGGACGGAGACACAGTGCAGCTCCACCTGCTCCACAGCCTGAGGATGCGCCAAAGGACGCTATTAGGAGGCCATTGCTACTAGGAACCAGAAGCTACTAGCAGCTAGACTAGCTAGGTGGAGGCCATCGCTATTAGGTTGGAGCCCATTCCTACTTACTATACGTAGTAATTAACAAGAAACTCCTAGCAACACAGGGTCCAAGCTCCACGGCCTCCACAGGTCCGAGCCTCCCAGCTTCGAGCTCCTCAGGGCTTTGGCCTTTGGTTCGCCCAGCACGGGCCCTGCGCGGGAACTCGAGGCGGCGAACCTGGGAGGGACAGGGAACCGGAGGGTGACCGGAGGGACCGGGCCACGTGGTGTGAAGAAGTCGGTGAGTGACCAGTCGATCTGGAAGTCGACTGACTTCCAGATCGATGCCTCATGTTTCAGGTCAGGTCGGACATTCTGCAATGAAGGAGATAGTACTTGGACATACTGGGAACGAATCAATCCATATCCTACATTGTTCCCGGCCTTTTTTCTGACATCTCTTTGGACGTCAAGGGTCGTCCTGTCATCCCATGTCATCCGAACGTGTGTCGCACCGATTCGACACCACGCCTCGGGACCGATCTGGCTCGCCAGGAGGCTGAACTGATGAAGGGATTGTTTCATCCCTTGCAGCCCGGCGCGCGGGTTGCAGAGATGAAGGCCCACCTCGACGTCGTCGACACACGTCCACCTCCATGCACGATCCGTTTCTTGGGGGGCGGCGGAGCGCGGCCGCGGTGCGCGCCCGGCCGCGGAATTGATCCGGGCGTGCCGGGCGTGGTGTCTCATGGTGTTTCCTATAGTCGTTTTGTGGCACGTGTGGTAAGTTTGTTCTGGAGGTTGGGAGGTCAGGCCGTATCATCACCACCGCTAATTCGTGTGAAAGTAACATATTGCAGTGAATATATACGTGGGTGACCCATCAGTTGCCAGTGAGGCCAAAGACAGGACATCGCTTGCTTGGCTCGAGCATCCAAAAGAGACCTCCGACGGCGCGCGACTGGCAACCTTAGCAAGTTGAAGCAATGGCAAGGACCTCCGCAGCACGCTTCCTTGCACAGCGACAGCCGAAGCTGCTTGACCCACCTGAGTGGCCCAAAACGGAATGTGTTTGGGTGGGTGCAGGTGATGGAAGAGATGGGTGAACATCAGTGAAGCTGCTATGCGAGTAACTAACACAGCGTTTTTTCTAATCTTTGTTGCTGACATCCCAGTGACTCCATCGGTAACTTAATGATCAGAGATGGGCCTCCACGACGAAGCTGCCATCTTACTTTGGTGGGCCCTTGTGGAGCTGAGCTCACAAAATGCGTCCTGAAAGATGCAGAACCTGTCTACTATAATAAGACTCCTGTAGTTTTTGTTTGCCGATTTATGTAGTGGCGCATGTGCTCAAAAGTGATCACCCGGGTTATCGATATGATGAATGGATGATTGGGGCAGCAATCAATTCTGGTGAGAACTCAGAGCTCTCAAAGCCAATCTACTTGGACCCTCCAACCCTATAACCTATAACAAATGGAACCGTTTGAAATGTGACATGAGGACCCTAAACAAAACTGTACATTGCACAGTAGTACAATGTATACTAAATCCATCTAAATCAATTTGTCTATATATATATATAGGTACTTTGAAAGACTCCGAGGGGTCCAGATGGTTTGATTCCTCCCCCCTCCGAGTACCAAGGAAGCAGATCTTCTTCGCTTTGACCTTGGCGCTCTTCGGCTCCTTGGCGAGCGCCACGGGTGGAGCACCAAAGGCCGTGGAGCACAGCACTATCGGGACGCCCTGGGGATTTGGCCCACCGAAAGACGAGCAGAACTCCTTTGGGTTTGTCATGGTTTGTCCGATCTGACCTGTAACAGTCAGTCAATGATAACTATGTTTGGAACCAAGTCCTGCAACTGAACCATCATCAGCCACTACTGGTACTAGGATAGACTATGAATAGACGACCTGGGAGGTCAACGAGCCGTCCAAACAGTGCCAATGCCGATCTCTGGAGCAAAACAACCACTTGGAGTCGCCCTTGAGAAGAAACACTCTTCAGAAACCTGGGCCAAGGGAATCCAAGAGGAGTCCCTTTGGTTCTCGACATGTTTTTGCTTCCTGATCCGCCAAGGATTCCGGGCCTGGAACTTTGTTTGCGCCCCAAAGCCTGCAGAAACAGGCAAGGCCTGGGGAAGATGGAACATGACCCACAGAACCTGCGTGCGTTTTTCCACGTGTTCAGTGCCGTGTTCACGCCGGTGGGGTCCTTGAGGGTGGGATGTGCGAGTGCTTCAACTTGATCGCATCCCTAGGGCTCCCAGTCGTACCTTCTGAGAGGTTAACAAAAACGGTGAGAACTGGAGAGGCTGACGTAGGGTTTTCCGGAACAGAACTGGACCTCAGGTTCTTTTTGCCACGGTTTCTTTTCGCCTTCCAGGCTTCCCCTGAAAATCAAGTCAGATATACTGATATACATCAGATTTGTTCATTCAATCACACGTCATTTCCTGTCTTCCCCTCTGCCGGGTCCCCAATTTCCGCGTGATAAATCCACGCATGACTGCCTCACCATGCCAGGTTTGCCAGCCGCGCCACAGTCAGCAGTGTCCCAGCCGGCTCCCTCCACCCCGACCGCGGAGAGCAGCACCGCCGCAAGCAGCACCCCGATGACCATGACCAGCTTGACAGCCATCCCCTTGGCCTATGTGGCGGCCAACAAAGGAGAGAGACGTGAGAACGGCAAAGCACACAACCAGCTCAGAGCGCTACAGCTCAGACCGGCTAACAAACCAGCTCAAATAGATAAATAGGCAGCGATCATATCATGTCATATCATGTCGCAAGCCCCCCCAAAAAAGAAACGATTACCTTACAAACTATATAGGCTATCCTAGCCCACCATATCAAGTCCTAGGCATTTTTTGATGTTTCCCTCCCTTGTGATGAACACCTATACGGCAGCCTCTCCAGGACTCTCCACCTTGAGCGGTGGCCGTGCCAGTAAGGCCTTGCGCCGGTCCACCGCGGCCCCTGAAGATGTGCCTTCGTCTCGGTGGAACGAGACGGGGAACGGAGGGCGTTTCATCTGGGGTCCAGGAGTGGAGTTGAACGAACGAACGGAAGGAGGAAGGAGTTGGGTGCCCCGGTCACAGCCCCTGGATGGACCTAAAAACCCACCCTTGGTGGGCCATCCTTAGAAGAGCAAGGCCGCCAAGGAAGAATTGACTCTTTGCGGTGAACATGCATCGCTCCTCAATAGCCACAGGAACACTGTTGATCAGCCTCTTTTGGGGTCTAAAGGTGTCCAAAAGTAGCTCCTCAGTAGCATGGACTTTTCTACACCGCAGCCACAGCCGCTACAAACCGTCATTGCTTTGCTGCTTTGCAGGCAGGTCCACCCCCAAGAGTCGGCCCACGTCCCCCCCGCAGTGACCCTCACCCCTCCGTGCTCCCAGGTGAGGGGTGAGGTCACGGGTGTCGTGCTTCCAGTGCTGGCCGCTCTCGCGGGGTGGCTCGCCGTGATGTGACTCGGTGAAGACGGGACGCGGCGCGCGCGATCCGGGACGTCCTGGGCGTCAAAGGCTTGCAATGAACATTGACAGGTGGAGAGAAGATGACAGAATGATCGAACAGTGGGAATTTCCAGCTATATATCACAGATGTGAGTCGGTTTATGCACGGCACCAGCTAACAGACCTAGCCGTTCCTGTTGCTTTCCGGAAGTCTCCCAACTTCAGAGCTTGAGAGCCATGCCCCCAGCATTCGAGCAGGTGATATACGTTACCTGTGTTTCAGGATCCGTCCGCTGGGGTCGACTGGGAGAGGTCGAGTGCGGTTCTTCAACCTTTCCCAGACACGACGTGTCTGGGACTGCCATTACCCAGACACTCCATGTATGCCATATATACCTGGAACTTCGTTACGGCAATAATAATTGCCGTTTTCATGAAACGTCGCCTTTTTCCGTTCTGCGGCGTTCTTCCATATTGATCTCATGGGGACGGCGTTTCTTGATGAACTGCGGCAGCTTCGGTCAGTTGACGGCAATTTTGGTCCACACATCCATGCGCCTCAAAGAGTCATTTCGTTTTAGTTTTAGGTGCAGGCGAGTATGAAAACATTGTAGGGTCTTGCTTGAAAGGCAACTGAACGTAAAAGGCGTCTTATTATATCAGCAAACTCGCATAGTCATGTGAAGTGGAAAGGGCAGCTGATGGAAGTGTCACATGCTGGGTTTTCGTCGGTTTTCGCGGGTAACTCGACCTCTTGCGCGGCGTTGCAGAAGATTTTGCGTTTAAAGTTGCGGCGTTCTTACCCGTACTTACGGCGTTTTTCCCCGTACTTACGGCGTTTTTCCCCGTACTTACGGCGTTTTCCCCCTACTTACGGCGTCGTTCCCTTACCCTGTCTATAGGGTCACTCAAGGTGGCAGCAAGACTTGTCACAACATGTCACAAGCGATCCTTTCAGCCATTGCATGATCAAAATGTGAACAAATCCTGCCGTGATGTCAATCGAGACCTTAGACAAGGGCTGCAACATCTTGAGAAGTGCTACCATGAGGCTTGAAAACGATGAGCTCTACTTACAAGTGAAAAAGGAGAAGGCAATTTCAGGGTATGGACGGACCAAAACAATATCCTCTTTGGTAGATCAATCAAAACGGCGATTCTTCTTTTGTGACGGCGTTTTCACTTCTCTGACGGCGTTTTCACTTTCCAGGGATTGAGCTACGGCAGAAAAAATGAGTTACGGCAGAAATTATTGCCTCAACAGCCTACGGCAAAAATTATTGCCTCGGGAGGGTCTAGGTATGCCTACATTGACCCCCAAACCACCCCGATGTAGGCATATACGGCATACATGGAGTGTTTGGGTTATGTGCCGCCCCCAACCACCCAAGGTCCACCACCCCATACCACCGTTTCTCGGCCGTCCGGACTGGCAGTCCCAGAAACGTCGTGTCGGGGTTGGTTGGCAGTTGCCATGCAGTGCCGCTCCGGGCTGTCGGCTGTCGGGCGCTCGGGCAGGCGCTTCTAGCCTGCTGCCGCAACGGCTGTACGACTGACTGGGTCCATTGGTCGGTCAAGAGCGTACTGCATACACCTCTCTTGCAAACAGGACTTGGGATACCTTGGGACTTCTTGGGATCTATTGGTACGGCATGTCTTACTGCTGGAGCCTGCTACGAGCTATCGAAGATTGACCAGGGAATCGAATGACCAAACCAGTTTTTACATCTTCTGGGCACTGATGCCATCAAAACGTTTGGGAGCCCTGTTCTAGGGCTTTTGCAGCAATATGGTGTTTGGAGGGGGTCCGGATCCAGTCTTTTTCTAGCTTGTGCTTGGGTGGATGGACTGTGGATGGGTGGATAGCCCCTGGGGAAGGTTCTCACTTCTTGCCCAAACTACATATAGATCATTAAGGTTTGAATGAGAATCCAGGCTGTGCTGCACGATTCTCACTTCTTGATCATATATAGGTCACTTGAAGGTCCTGAAGGTGGTGGATGTTTCCCAATGAGGTACGGCATCCAGCACAGCCTCATCGCTGTTGCGTGGCTGCAAGACGGGTGAACAGAGCCCTTTGGGGAAGGCCAAACAGCATCACGTTGCATCAAGTGTACGACTGTAACCGGTTTAAGTTGACTTTTCTCTTGTGAT